TATATATGTATAGTATATGCCAGTGTCTGTGTATATATATGTCGTACCTAGTAGCCAGAACGCACTTTTCAGCCTACTATGCAAGGCCCAATTTGCCTAATAAGCCAAGTTTTCATGAATTAATTGTTTTTCGACTACCTAACCTACCTAACCTAACGTAACCTAACTTTTTCGGCTACCTAACCTAACCTAACCTATAAAGATAGGTTAGGTTAGGTAGGGTTGGTTAGGTTCGGTCATATATCTACGTTAATTTTAACTCCAATAAAAAATAATTGACCTCATACATAATGAAATGGGTAGCTTTATCATTTCATAAGAAAAAAATTAGAGAAAATATATTAATTCACTAAAACTTGGCTTATTAGGCAAATCGGGCCTTGCATAGTAGGCTGAAAAGTGAGTTCTGGCTACTAGGTACGACATATATATATATATATATATATATATATATATATATATATGCAAACAAGCCTGAATGGTCCCCAGGACTATATACAACTGAAAACTTCATTTCTGGGGTGTGAGTTTTCAGTTATATATATATATATATATATATATATATATATATATATATATATATATATATATATATATATATATATATATATATATATATATATATATATATGAAGGGAGTACCACCTCTAGTTGGAAGAAGGGGGACCCTTAGCCTCGGAGGAAACCACACATAACGCATTGGAGGGAATGTAGGTCCCCTCCAATACAGTTTCTGTGTGCTTTTCTCCTACCACCCCCTTCCCTTTTATCTTTTTTTTGCTTTATTGTGTATTTAAAGGTTACAAAACATACAAGACAAATGCCTAAAGGTTATGGATCTCTTGAAGCTCCTCCGCTTCCGGACAGGAACCGAGGACGCAGCAAGCATTTCCCCTCTGGATCGCCACACTGAGATGCTGAAACAAAAAACTGGAAGCCCTTGGGTCTCTGGTGACGTCAATGAGCCTGGAACCCAATTCCTTGAGAAATCCCAAGGCACTCTTGCCCCAGGGGCCATGCGTCTCAGACGCTATGGGAACAAAGAGGTATTGACCTTCCAGTCGCCTGTACTTGAGTGATTTTGCTGTTTCCCTGTGGTTGGCCGCCCCACCTGTTTGATCAGCTCCGAAGTGTACATAGGTGTCAGCCAGGGTGGATACACATGTGTAGTCCAACACCAACTGTCTACCCTCCTTCCAGGAGTATATGGTGATGCCATCAGGGAGAAGTGCAGGGAAATCCGGGTTTTGGACCCCTAGGATGCGAGGTTCTCTCTCCGCTGGGCACCTAGCTGAGACGAGGCTTCTCTTGATGATGTCATTGACCTCGTTGTGTCTTGCATGCCAGGCCTTTGTGCTTCCGCAATGCAACCCATGCAGTCCGTATGGGTCTGCTTCCACCCTGTTGCAAATACACTTGTATTCAGTGTGAATTGGGGCATCAAGGCGGAGGGCCACTGCTACACGAAGGAATTCTGGATCTAGGCGCGTGCCCATTGCTGACATGGGTACTGCCAGGAGGAAGTCTCCTGCATGGGGGGCAAGCACTGCTCTGAGACGGGCTTTCTCCTTAATATAGTATATATATATATATATATATATATATATATATATATATATATATATATATATATATGTATAGTATATGTATAGTATATATATATATATATATATATATATATATATATATATATATATATATATATATATATATATATATATATGTATAGTATATATATATATATATATATATATATATATATATATATATATATATGTATAGTATATATATATATATATATATATATATATATATATATATATATATATATATATATATATATATATATATATATATATATATATATATATATATATAAAACTTTATTTTAAAATTTCATTACACGATATATCTTGAGATGATTTCGGGGCTTAACGTCCCTGCGGCCCGGTCCTCGACCAGGCCTTTTTATTACACATCCTCAGGAAGCAGCTCGTAGTAGCTGTCTAACTCCCAGGTACCTATTTACTGCTAGGTGAACAGATTCATCAGGGTGAAGGAAACTGTCCATTTGTTTCCGCCTCCACCGGGGATCGAACCCACAACCTGAGTACTACGAATCCCGAGCGCTGTCCACTCAGCGCTCGGGATTCGTAGTACTGAGGGGGCCTGACATCTGGAGAAGGGGGGTACATAAGCTTATCATGTACTGTATGTATAAACTGGCTGCCTGTCCCAAACACAATGAATTATAATGCCGTCAAATCATAGCAGAAACCAGTTCGTGTCAGAATGGTACAATTCATTTGAACCTTCTTTAGTTGAAGATTTTAATAACAATGAACTCACAGGTACTATCAGCTGATGGCCCCAAGAGCCCCGATCTACTCATGAAAACCCAGCCCCACAGTACATAATTCCCAGTTGAAATACTGACCAGAAATCCCACCCCCAATAAATGATTACAAAGAATTGGACTAGATCATAGAACCCCAACTACTGAAAGCTCAGTTACAGGCCCGCTTCTGTGCCAGGTAAGTCCACTACGGGCTCACCATAGCCCGTGCTACTTAAAACGTTTTGTTCCCAGTAGCTGAATCTTAAACAACAACATACAGAAAGCTCTTTCAGATGACTCTGGCTGCGGCCGGAGGAATGTGTGGTAGAACCGAGGCAGACAGTCTCGGAAACTTGTCAGTGGTCTCAAAAAAAAAAGTTCTCACACCCAACTAAGCCGAGCATAGAAGGTTATCAACGAGATCAAGGGGGAAAATACTGTGCAGATCTTACACCCCCAATCCCCTACATAGCAAATGAGCCTGTTGATGCATAGGCCACACCTTCCAGCTTGAACAGTTTCCCTCTAGCAACACAATAAAATAATAGATATAACGAAAGATGAAAGCTCCTTGATTTCACTCTTCATCAAGGGGATGACTAAAATATGTTGTTGTTATAGATTCAGCCAAACAAGTTCCAAGTAGCACGGGCTATGGTGAGCCCGTGGACTAAAATACTTTTCACGGAATATGAACTAGATAGAGACAAAGCTACGTCTTCCAGGACGTAGAATATTGCGGAAGTTACGGAATACTGCGTACGCTTCTGCTAGTGCCATGACATCCTTTGATTTAATTGTATATGATCTATGTAACTGGATAGCGTCCAAAGTCGTGGACCTCATTATTACCACTCCTGAACACTTAAGTTCTCGTCGCCAGATCTCCCTCACTAGTTGCCCGTCTGAGAGGAAGGTTCTAAACAACCTCCTTTATAGAATTAGAAACTATGTCTTCATGCATAGGAGTGTGCATCACTACAGTATTACCTTCTTCCTGCTTTTTACCCACAGGGTTTATAAACCCATGGAACCGCCGAAGTCCCAACTGTTGATTTGTTAAAATCCAGCTTGAAAACAGAATCAGGACAAAGGAGAGGTTGGACCTTCGACAAGCCGCCGGCTTCCCGTCCTCGTCGAGGCCACTCGTGTGTCGGTGGCCTTCAGGTAAATTCAAGTGAATATAATGAAGTGCCTCCAGCATTTGTCCTTAGGCTCAAGATTAAGTTATAGGCTAAAATAAGCAAATCAACACATGAAAGCGATATACATTTATTGGTATGTATGCACAAAAATACAAAAAATTTAACATGTAACTAAAATACTTTTAATTTTGCCTTCCACCAATGTTTCAATTAAGTCAATTAAAACGCCAGTTAGTTCATGGCATTAGGGGAAGGGAACTATCAGGAGAAAGCACAGCCATTTTGACTATATAGCACTGGGATGGGATCAGGATAAAGATTTTGGGATGGGACAGGGGGAAAAAAGAATGGTGCCCAACCACTTGGACGGTCGGGGATTGAACCCCGACCTGCATGAAGCAAGACCGTCACTGTACCGTCCAGCCCAAGTGGTCGAGTGGCAGAACTACTGCACTGTATTGGCGGTTGTATCTTTTAAATTTTGCAGTACTTTAAAAGTTCTTACACTGATGCAATAAAATAGTAATTTTTTTACTTTAGTGTTCATAAAACTAAGGCAGTTTTGTAGGCCTGCTCGTTTTATGCCGGCTTAAGTTATCAATAGGCAGTCAGTATCATTATAAAACCTATTTAGAATGTTTTGCTTCATTAATGAAATACATTAGATGCACAAACAAATATTTTAATTAACGACAACTACAGCTAGAAATGTGAGATAGCATTAGACTAATCAGCTTGACTAACACTATTGGCTTGTGCAAGTCGAAATTTAATCTTTATATATACTGCTAGACAATGTTTCAACAGCTCTTTCAGCAAGGTAATCTCTTAAGAACGATGCACAAACGATGAAGAAATCATCACTAGGAGCAAGCATGTGACTACTAACAACAATTAGGCAAATACAAATTTATGATTGTTGATGGAAGTGCATTAAACCTTTATCTGCAAACTCATTACAGATAGGAAAATAAAAATAAAATTCATCAACACCAATGATTTTATTTATATCCATGAAAGTAAAATATCTTAAAAGTCAAACTGAATTAAAAAAAAGTGTTATGCCAAGATGGTCATAGAACCATAAATGGTCATAGGTACACTTAAATCAAATTCTCATTTCAAATTTTGTCCTGTACTTTCAATGGTGCAGCATTTTACCACTATTGGATTTGACCAAGGCAGTAATTTAATTCTTGGAACCATTACTTATTTCAACTGATGAAAGCAAATCACTTACAGTATTGGTTTGTTTCCTCTAGTAATTTTTCAAGCTCTGGTACTGCACACAGTATTATAAAGGCAAATTTTCCAAGTAATTTTCATAGTTTTAAATGGTAGTCTAGGCTTTAGAAATCAAGTCAATGGTAATACAAAATTATTAATGTACCAATAAAAATGAGTAAATATAATTGCCTCTAGAGCATGAAGGAGTTAAGTATGCAAGGACATTCAAGAGAAAATTGCATGCTTCAATAGCAAAGATTATGTTCAAAAATGGAAAAAGAGGAGAATAGTCAATCGACTCACTTTTATTAGCCATGATACAAGTTGTGTTGTATACACTAGCATGATCATAATAAATACAATGTACATCATACATACTTAAAAGAATCTGAAAAATTAAAATCTAAAATAACCCAACACATGAGGAATGTGGCAGTTGTTATTCTTCAATCTCCCAGGAAGGTGGCCGGAGTGTTTAAGGAAATGCTCTTTTCCATTAGAATTTTCGTAAACACAACACAAATGCGTAGATCTTATATAAAAAACTCTAGAGGAAATCTTGCTCTTCCTACACATTTGCAGCTTCAAGTCTAGTACAAACAAGGGATGTAGCTAAGCTCAGAGCCATCATTTGTACCAACCTAAAACTGTGGTCGCCTCGCAGGGGTCCTCATGGTCAGGGCTGGTACAGGTCAGGTGTCGCACTAGGCACCCCTGATCAAGCACCAAAATTCACCACCAGGATGCACAAGAACACACATGCCCGAGTGCACCAGAACACAAGCCCGAGTGCTTGCCCGACACAACAGGAGCGCTATCACAAAATGAAGCAAAAAGATTAAATACAAGCAGACTGACAGTTTTCCTAATTCTATGAATCTCTAGCCAATTCTGTCAAGGTAAATAATTCAACTTGGCAGAATTGGCTAATTGGGTCCCGTTAAGAATGAACGTTGGGACCTCAAATTTAAAGCTTTGGAATGATCAAGGTCTTGGGCTTCTCCCATGGAAATTGCTCACGTCCAAAATGTCCATAACATGAAGTTTCACTGTAGATGGGCCTCTTCAGTCCAAGCTCCTTGACAATGCGTCCTGGCCGTAGATCAAAGTTGTGGTTAACAATCTTCAGTAGCTGTTTTGAAGTGTACTGTGAGGTGCCATAGTGGAAAATACTGATACTAACTGGCTCGGCAACACCGATGGCATAAGATACCTGAAATTTAAGATCATGTATTAAAATAATACCTATCAAATCAATATTACTCATGATGTATAAACATCTGGCAACACCTTTAAATTAAAAACATCAAAATAGGGAACGAGTAAAGAAGACTGATCACATTTACCAGGTGTAACGTAATGGAAAATTTACAAAAGATTTATATTATTGCAGCAGATTTATTGAGGAGTTACCCTGGGAGATATAGTCAAGACTCATGAAAAGCGGGCCCTCTTGAAATTTATGTCTAGCAATGTATAACCCAAGCTCAGGGCCATCATATTCCACAAATTTACTAGGTCGAGTAAGAACTAGATAAAGTTTCCAAATTACAATTATGAAATTCTATTATTATGAAATTATGAAAAGTACATATGGCATGGCAGGAATATCCAAAACAATCTTTAGGAACAGTATATCAGAGTAGGGGACAAAGGGGAGGGAGTACAAATATTGTGTCCTGTACCCTATTATTACTATACCTTATTAGAACTATTATATTGCAATATTGTTGCAGAAATTTTACATTACTGGAAAGCCAAGAAATGTTATCAAAAGTGAGAATTGAAATTTTACCATTCTATATTATTGGGGAATGATTAGTCATCATTATACTGTATTTAAAAATCATCTTTGCCAACATTATACACTTTTAAATTCAGAAACAAAACAATTTAGTGCTGTAACGGCCGTCATCCTACAACACTTTACGAAGCCATAAGACAAAATATTTAAAGTACACATTTGACTTTCCCACCAAAAATGCTTTGGAAATTCCAACTACATTACTTTAATATTTAATGCTGTAAATTTTCAAATTTTAATTACAGTAAATCAATTGTGCAAGTTTCTGTAGAAAAAACTAAGCCAATTTCCTTTCAATAATGCTTAAAATGTAGTTAAAGTCTGATAATTTTAATCATCAGTTTGATAATCTAGAGGGCCCTGCTCGTATTTAATAAATTTAATTTCCCTAGGATATTTAAAGCTCTTATTGTAGTAAAAGATTGGCAATATACGATTTCCCATAGTTGGGGTCCTCCTAGCACCGCTCGTCACCTTTCCCCAGACAACCCTCAACAGTTTTCTAACTAGTACAGTAGGCATTATCTGATAACAGCAATACATTAAAAATAAATGATTTTATATTTCATGTTTTTGTGGCCCCTTAATTACATTGTGATTTAAGCCAAATATCTTTGGTGCCTCGAGTTTAATTACACTATTCAACTTCCTATATATTATATAAAATTTACACTATCCACGGCATCTCATTCTTAAAACATTTTACCAAGTAGATCCATATTAAATATAGGGGTTTGCGTGGGAGTATCCAGAGCATAGGTTCGAGTCTTCATCATGGCTCCTAATTGTCTCATTGAGACATCACAATGTGATTTCTTTGTGCATCGTGAAACTGGCAAATTTTGTATATTTGCGTTTACTCTAAAAATAATCAGTCTTGAACCTTTAAAAAGTACATTAAAATCTGAAACCATAAATGAAGACCTTTATTTTATACCAAAAGAACTCTAAAGTAAAACAAATAACTTTACCTGCACCAAACAACGCCTGCAAATGTCGTTCTTCACCAAAGACTTGGCAACCCATCGGGCAGCATAGGCAGCAGAGCGATCCACCTTTGTGTAGTCTTTACCAGAGAAGGCACCACCACCATGAGCTCCCCAACCACCGTATGTGTCTACAATAATTTTCCTACCAGTTAGCCCAGCATCACCTTGAGGTCCACCCATAATGAACTCTCCACAAGGATTAATATGGTATTTTGTATCAGCATCAAGATATTTTTCAGGAATAACTGCTTTGATGGCCTTTTCCATAATTTCTTCACGCAGAGCTTCTACAGAAATCTTTTCCGAATGTTGTACAGAAGCAACGATTGTATGTACTCTTTGTGGAATGGCAGCTCCTTGACTGTAAACAATAAAAAAAAAATATTCATTATCAACAAACAAAATTAGGTTAATATACAAATGATAATTATTGTTACCCAGAATTAAACCACTTTGGAAAGAAGTGTTAATTTTAAAACACACTACATCAGAGGCATCCAGTCACATTACGAGGGTCAAATTACAGTACACAAATGCATTTTATATTAGACGGAAATTTTATTACAAGCAATACAGGTTTTCTGAGGGGCATCCCAGGGTGCTTTCTTTGTTGTCACCATGGGGAAGGGAACTACCTTGAGAAAATACCATGCCATTATGACTATAGCCCTTGGAAGATAAATCAGGATAAGGATTTGGGATGGGACGGGTGGAAGGAATGGTGCCCAACCACTTTGACGGTCAGGATTGAACGCCAACCTGCACGAAGCGAGACCGTCGCTCTACCGTCCAGCCGAAGTGCTTGGGTCGAAGGGAAGGGAACTATCAGGAGTGCGCCAAGCCATTACAAATATATAGCACTTGGAAGGGTCAGGATAAGGATTTGGGATGGGACGGCAAGAAGGAATGGTGCCCAACCACTTGGGTGGTCCGAGATTGAACGCCAACCTGCCTGAAGCAAAACGGTTGATCTACCGTTCAGCTAAAGTGGTATCGTGGAAAAACAAAGGATCCCAAGGGGTGGAGGAGAGCTACACATAGTATCCAAGAAAAGTGCAAATGTGCAGCCCCAGAGCCACACTGGTACGGCACAAACCAAGTACAATCACCAAGAAACAAACCATCAAAACACTAGAGCATAGATTACCGCTCAAGACATTCAAGGTAGGGGAAAGCATCATATGCCTAAGACTGCAAGCGGGCTAAATTTTACAACACTTGACAATCAGACAAATGGGCCCTGGAACAAGGAACCCCAGACACAATCTACAAAGTAACCCCTTCCCTACACATCACTAGTGGTGTAGAAGGAATGATGAACGGCTGCAACCAGATGCAAGATGCAACCCCGGCTGAATCTGCCATCTTTGAGTACCAATGGGCAGTCACTCTTGGCCAGAAAAGGATAACCGTAAATGAAGAAAACTGCCCCCAGGATCAAAAGAACAAAACCCCAGCCAGCTTCTGGAAGTGTGTATGTGTAGGTCAAACTCCAAGCAACCACAAGCACGAGTCAAAACAAAATCAAGCATTAAAGAAATCATCCCGGACCAAAGGAGCAACAGAAAACCAAGGCTAGAAAAACTAAAACCTTGCCCAAAGACAAAGATGGCTCAGAAGCAACAAAAGCAGGCCAGAAATGGAAAAGTTCCCGAAACAACTTTTGGCGTGGGGTTTGGCCACCTTAGAGGTAGCCAAACTTTTGCAAAGCCAATGGAAGGGAGTGTTGCCCCACTGCCATGGAGTGGATTCAAGTAAGTTTATTAAGAAAACATTATGTAATTTACACATGTAAATTATGTAAATTTATATACAAACATTACAATTTACATTACATAATTGTGAACCAGGTACTGGAACCAGTTGTTATTCAGCATTATAAGACCAACCAGGCTGTAGTGGATATTTGGGCCTGCAGGCTGCTCCAAGCAACAGCCTGTTGGACCAAGTTATCACAAGTCGATAGCAGAACTCTCTGAACCGTCCAAGTGTGCTTCCCCAGGACACTTTGCTAATCATTTTACATCCAGGTTACTAATTATTGCTGGATGTGTACAAATGGTAGGGTGAATGGGGCTAATGAACACAAAGACTAGTGCCTAATAATGACACTCACTACACCACAGAGGGCTACTTTTGGGCAAAACACACACGACAAAATTTGGTCAGATTACTGCACATTTAATACTTACTCGAAGGTGTATTCGCAGGTGACTTGAGTTTTGCTATCAGGTCGTGCCCACCAGAATGTTCCATCTCTTCGCAGCTCTGCAATTTTTTGATTCAGACGATGTGCAAGCACAACAGTTAGAGGCATGCACACATCAGTCTCGTCAGTAGCATACCCAAACATTAATCCCTAGAAAGAAGAATGTGGTTAGTTACACTTCCAAAGAATTAAAAAAAAAATAAAGGTTCTTTTATTCATTAGCCTAGAGCCAGCCTTATCCAGACATCAAGCCATTTCAAATTTTATCAATATACATCACTAATATTAAACAAATATTGTATGCATTTATATTCAATGAAGAAAAGAAACTGTTGGAAAAAGAGAAGAGAAGACTGGTAACACTGCTAAACATGACGACTGAAACACTCAAGAAATTTATAGGGAAGGCAAGAAAATCCATTAAGATTAAGATGGCAAGCAACAATAAAACTGAAGACATTGGTTGAAAGAAACTGCAGTGCAAATACGCAAGATAATTAATTGTAATAAATGTGTTTAATGCAAGTTTCTAAATTCTGCATGTTAATATTACACAAAAACCTGATGTTAAAACTAAGAAAATCCAATGTAATTTTAATATACCTCCAACAACTAAATTTTGTGAAGCTTGGTTTTATTTAAAAACACTAAGCCAAGCACCATCACGGTTTAAGGACCATGACTCGGTACAGGGCCAACACTAACCTTGAATAAAATCAAGGGACAAAAAGATTGAATTTACTGATATGATGATTACATTCTTTACTACTGTGGTTTACTATATCACTTCGTACAGTAATACTGTACATTACCATTATACAATTTTCTACCAGTCTACAATATCTTGAAGCATTTCTAGCTCCATGATATCTTAGCATGAACATGTTGTAATGCTTCAATAAAGCAAAGCTACTGCAGAAAATATAAAACATTAACTGGTCACCTGATCGCCTGCCCCAATGTCGTCGTCGCTCCTCCCAACGTGTACCCCATTAGCAATTTCCACACATTGTTGCTCCAGGGCCAGGAGAACATTGCAAGTCTTGTAGTCAAAGCCTGTGAGGCAAAGACCCAACCACAAGTGAGCAAATTTTAACACACAACCAAAAGAGGGTAACATTCAAGAGTTTAAGGACATTTTCCCCTTCACATGTGCATCACACAATCTAAGTACTATAACCTTAAGGAAGAGACTGGGAAGAGATTGGTAAACAATCTTAAAGAGACAAGTAACGACAATTTGAAGAAACAAACCATTACCAAGAAACCCATTTCTACTTTTCCAAGTTAGAAAAAAAGAATGCTGGCCAGACTAGGAAATGGGTAATTTTAAATTGCAATTAATATTTTAACCAATTATCAATTGTTAAACAAGGCAACCCAATTTCCTTAGTGTATGACCAGCCTCTTTTAAAGTTAATGTGGATAAAGAAGAGCAAGTTTTCTTTATACAGAAAACTACTTTCCATGTCCCAACAAGTCAGTACCTCAACCACTTAAACCCACGAGAAAAGCCAAGTTGATAGAAGTAGATTACAAAAGTACCTGGTCGCCTGCTCCAACATCTTCTTCGGCTCTGTTTATATGAACACCATCGGCAATATTTGGAGACTGCTGCTCAATGGCAACAAGGAGATTACACGTCATGAAGTCGAAGCCTGAGTACAGGGAATAGCTATTGCTTTTTTGTGCCAGAAATTTAAATATAACCCCTTATCACGTGCAAATTATTTCCAAGACTGCAAGTAGAACCTTTTAATCTAGTCCATTACCAAAGGTGACCCAGTGATTATTTTGTGTAAAGACCCTGCATTATGGAGTAATGACAATCAGCAATGTTTATGCATTATTAAAAACCATTAGTGGTTACATTAACATTTTGAATATACAAATACACATTCAGGGCCTGTTTTATACATTGTTAAAATTAATCACTGGTCATAATCCATTGCCCTTTCCAATGAAAATTATACTGTACATACAAAAACCCTTAAAGCACTAATTTGACTATGGAATTAGATACCCCAAGTTGCATCTCTACCAAGGCTAAAACTTCCTTTAAATATATAAAGCTACATCTTAAGGGTGAAGTTAAGGTATAAGTGCTTAAGACTGGTGCATCAACAAATACGACTTAAGGTAACCAAGCAACAATTTTTAATTCAAATATCAATCACAACAGCCAATGTATTGTTTATGTCAGCAGCTACAAAGAGGAACAAAATTAAACTCACCCTTGCCAGAATCATCATAACCAATTTTCTTTACTGTATCACGCACAATCTTTTGATAGTCAACCTGGGCCTTTGAAGTAATTTCTCCACATATTAGGATCATGCCTGTCTTGGTGCAAGTTTCACAAGCAACCTGTTAAAAGGTTTAAAGGTGGAATTTATTAACAAAATGGAAGTTACAGCCCCGCTCCTGTGCCAAGTAAGTCTACTACGGGCTCACCATAGCCCGTGCTACTTGGAACTTTTTGTTCCTAGAAGCTGAATCTTAAAACAACAACAAAATAGAAAAAGGGAGAGTAGGAACTTAAGGGTGGGATCTCTTCCATATAGTGAATCCAATTAGGCATCTCAATACCTAGACCAAGTGACGCTTACTGTACTATACATCTAGGACGCTATGCAACAATAAAATAAAGGTACACAACTGTATCATATAAAGTTATGTACTTTGAAGATTAACTTTTATAGTAATGATAATCAACAAGTCACCAGATTCATAATACTTGCTCAATCTTTGAGACTGAGTGCATGTAGAATTTATATGATTCAAAGCTATATAGAATTTAAGTTAAAGTTTGTTTCATGTAGTTAAAGCCGAGAGCAATTTTAAATTAAACAAAAATTTATTGGAAGTAAAAAAATAAAAGATAAAGGTGATGAGCAGTGGATGTGTATGCAATCTATTAAAAGAAAATTTCCAGTCATTTAATTAAAATCTACTTTATGCTATCCACAACACAGGATTAATAGTATACAACATAGTTGGCGATGATTAAAACTTTACACTGGAAATAGCTAAGGGGGGGGAGGGGGAAGGGCAAAATAAAAAAAAACTTACTTTGGCATCAGGGTCCTGACTGAGGTGGGCATCGAGCACTGCATCGCTGACCTGATCACAGATTTTGTCTGTAAATAAAAAATGTAAATTTTGAAAACCACATCAAGTTAATGATGCTTGACAAAACTAGACGACTCGCTATCGACAAAACCCAAACTTTAATTAGAGTTAGAGGCTAATCAAGAAAAAAAATCTACTTTCATCTACATTTGCCATCCCATGGCCATCAAGGTTTCAAACATACTATCAATGTATTATGTCAGAAGTTAAAGATACCCAAGGGCACAGAGTGCCAGGGTGTCAACGGCACTATGGATTCCAACCAATGCCAGCCTGTGTTTACATGGCACACTTGCCAAGTAACCAAGGCCAAGTTTTATCCAGAAACCACTAGTACTATTGGTGGATCAATAGTGGTGGTGGTGGTGGGGCGGTGCAGCAGTCATCTACGCCAGTGATCACAGTCACAATGTCGCTACAGTACCGCAATGTAGTAATACAGTCACTACAACAATATTGTCCACCACTACACGTCCAACTTAACTACGTTAAGTTTATAAGCCTCTCAACCTCCCATTCCCAGAGGAATAATTAAAGATAATCAATATCGGACACGCATTCCAAGCTAGTTAAAAGTCAAGAGGCTTGTGGCATTTAAAAAATGCCATTAACTTCACAGTATGACACGGCCTGGCCATCGCGTAATTAAACTACATGTTTAACTTGCCATAGTGAGAGAGATTCCACGTGTAAGTTATTTATAGCGCCATGATGAGCGCACCTCTTCACTGTACCGTACTCTGGCGGACGTACGATACTCCCACCACACAACACTACTACTAACTCACAATTATAACATTAACTACCGTTGGCAATAAGTGGTATAAATACTCGTTTTGTCACTAAAGCTATTTGGAAAAACGCCAAAAAATTTATTTAATAAATTGTGAAGGCCGGTGGACAAGGGGACAAGTGTCCAGAGACAAGGTAGTGGCGGGCAAAATGTCCGCACTTGTGCACTCCCTCGTCTTGCTCCTGCTCCTCCTCGTGTCCACCCTCCACCTACCTGGGTGTCCCTCGCCCACGCTCTCGCTGGTGAAGAGAAACGTCTCCTGGTCTTCCAACTCCTTGGCACCCGCATTATCGGCGTAGCCATTGGTGTACGCGGCGGACTCGGGCATCGTGTAGTTCTAGTGTAGCGCAGAGTGGAAAAGAGGCAGAGGAAGCTCCCTCCTCGGTATATATACCCGCGGGACCGTCACGTGACTCTCCCCACCACCCGCCGCTAACTTTGAACTGCGGCAAGTGTAAGAGTGGCTCTAAATCACAGACACCTCCGTCAGCAGCTGTCAGCGGCCACACACGTCAGCAGGCAGAGGCACGGTGGTACTGAGGCCGGGTCAGGCTGGTGTGTGAGTGTCTCTTGCTGTCCACGGTCTCCCATTTTAATACTTTGTCAAAGGTGTCCCATGATCCCCCCTATCTCGCCGGCCACAGTCTCCACACATTACTTCCCCGCACTAACGATCACTCTCACTACCATCAAGGCAAATTATACGGTTTCTTAACTACTTACTCTCCTAACTGGTCTTACCAACGAAGAAGTTGTGTCGCAAAATTAATTCACGCAATTATTGATATAAGGAAACTTGTCCTGGACGCTAGTTATACATAGTTACAGGCGAGTACGAAGCATTATGGAAGAATGGGGTAGGAGTTGAGGCGAGTGCTATAGCGTGGCGGCGTGTGAGAGTGGGAGGAGCCAGCGACCATGACTCCCCCAAGCTGACCAACCACCGACACCACGCTAACTTCCTCCATATCTCTCTTCCATACTCGTCAACAACTTCTACTACATCCACGCTATCACCATGAGCATCTTCCGCCCCGTCATGACCAGTGTGGGCGGTGGGAAGAGCCCCGCACCGCGGTGTGTGGCTGGGTATGTCTCCACGACCGCCTTGGGTGAGTGTTAAGTGTTCCAAAGCAGGTGGTTGAGGTTTTCACCATACAAAGAATATATGGAAGTCTGACACACACATACAGGCAGGTGTGACACCACGTGCGACACTAGAGTCCTGGACAGTGCGTTCCCTTTTCGCACTTTTCCCTTTTTTGAAATTAGCTATAGAAGTCGATTGAATGATGAAGATTAAGCCACCCAAAAGGTGGCACGGGCATGAATAGCCCGTAAGTGGTGGCCCTTTTGAGCCATTACCAGTATCAAGAGCTGATACTGGAGATCTGTGGAGGTGCGACTGCACCCTGCGTGACGGGAGATGTCTCCCGTGTATAGAAGCCAGCTGTGGCATAGTTATATACATCAGTTACACCAGTTGATTGACAATTGAAAGGCGGGACCAGAGTCAAAGCTCAACCTCCGCAAGCACAGCCAGGCGAATAAAAGCTAGACAGACCGGACGTAGTCATGGTGACTATGATGGAAAGATACAAATGGTGACCTCAGTAATCTTAACCTAAGTCAACTAAATTATCTTTTCTTTTAGCTAATTTGTGAGTGGTGGTGGAAAAGATTACGGGCTCAGGAACAACATTAAAATTCATGTCCTAAGCAAATTAAATTAGTCTTGATGTTAATTACAATTTGAGACTGTTAATATACACAGCAACAATTTATCAAATTAATATTGTAACTCCAAGAAACCTTAACACAACGAGAAATAGTTAGAGTTAGTTTATTATGGGCTACACACACCTGTCGAGTGGGTGGCCATGACAAGGTCACAATCACCTACAGTACCTACAGTAGGGAAGGGATCCCAAGTTAGTGTACACACACACTGCGAGGCTTGCACTCTGCCGTTCTGTTGCTTATCTCATGTCCATGTACCGTAGCAATGGGAGATAGTCATCTTTGATAGGCGGGTGACTCCCTGTCCTCGTCGAGGCCACTACAGAGAGATTTACCTCAGGTAAATTAGATTGCATCCCTTGTAACTTCATTACAAACTTAAGGCAATAAAACTGCACTGTAACATGTACGTCACAATTGTAAATTGTTTAACCTATAGATCATTGTACGTGGTTAGCTCCTTAACCCGTGATGTGACTAACCTTAATGTTAATTAAGCTAAACTAAACTAACATGATGTATACATGTTAATTACCTAGCTCATCAATGCTGAGCCAATTATGTGCGAATTGTTAGTTGACACAGTTTACAATGGCAAAGAATGAATATTAGCAGGAATTCCGTGATACAAACGAGCATTCCTCATGTAAATTTCTTGGTCATATTTTTTAAATTAAAAGATCAAATGAAAATATAAATGAGTGCTGCCATAGTAGAGTGTGGCTGCAACAATTATTTCAACCGCACATTTATCGACGGTTCATAGAAATTCATATATATGGTTCATATACATTTGTAGTACAGTATATTAAAATTGAAAGTGACACGAGGGCTGCACTGGCCCGCCCATATGTATTTAACTTATCATGTTCCTCATACCCACCCTGTAACCGGAGGTGCAAATGTTTGAGGCACACCATGAGAGGCTTATTGATATAGCTCGAATGCATGGGGGAATTGTGTAAAATCCTGGTTTGGGTCTCGGAGAGGCTGCAGGATCCAAGTAAATTCCGTAGAATTTCTGGTTGCAATTCTTATAACATGTCGTAGCTCAGTTGATTAAGGCAGCGTCTGGGATGCTCTCGGACGTAGGTTCGAATCCTCGTCACGGCCCTTGTGAATTTGTTCCATCCTCATTATCTCGGAGGGTAGAAATAGCCTAAGCTACTCTATCCCTTCGAGATGTATTTTATTGTCTCAATAAACGTACTTGAACTCATTATCTCAATCATAGCATTTCTTGGGCATCCTAAGATTATTCTCATGACTTCATTTTGTACTTTCTCTAACTGCTTTACTCTGCCTTTACCAGAACAAGAGATGACAAGTGCAGTGTAATTATTAAGAGATATCACAGTATACCATGTGATTACCATTGGAGTGTGAAATGTTAAATAGGATTAATATTTGTGTACTTATATGGATTTGTGAATCCCTTGAAGGACCTTCAATACGAGGGCGAGAGGGCGGGTTGCCTGTTCAACCGTACAGTGATTGTAAATGGATCAGTGTTAGTGATTGTAAAGTGATCAGTGCTACAGTGATTGTAAAGTGATCAGTGCTACAGTGGTTGTAAAGTGATCACTGCTAGTGATTGTAAAGTGATCAGTGTTAGCGATTGTAAAGTGATCAGTGCTACAGTGATTGTAAAGTGATCAGTGTTACTGTGATTGGAAAAATGAACTATTGTTATGTTTAGAATAGTGTTGCAGTGAAAAACAAAGGATCAGTGATGTTAAACACATTTATTAGTACCACAGTGATATGATAGAACTTAGGAGCAGTGTTCTCACTCTTCTTTTTTGTCATTTCCCCTTTTTCCAACCATATTCTCACCATATTCTTAAAAAAATGGAATTAGCAAAATTGGCAATAACCATTGCTTCGACAGCTACAAATGTCACAAGCATGAGGTAGGATCAGAGGGTCAGGCAGGTCGAGGATCAGAGGACCAGGCAGGTCGAGAATCGGAGAGCCAGGCAGGTCGAGGATCAGAGGGCCAAACAGGTCGAGGATCAGAGGGCCAGGCAGGTCGAGGATCAGAGGGTCAGGCAGGTCGAGGATCAGAATGCCAGGCAGGTCAAGGATCAGAGGGCCAGGCAGGTCGAGGATCAGAGGGCCAGGCAGGTCGAGGATCAGAGGGCCAGGCAGGTCGAGGATCAGAGGGCCAGGCAGGTCGAGGATCAGAATGCCAGGCAGGTCGAGGATCAGAGGACCAGGCAGGTCGAGGATCAGAAGGTCAGGCAGGTCAAGGATCAGAGGGCCAGGCAGGCAGGTCGAGGATCAATGACATGTACAAGAATGTAAGAACTCCTGTATATATATAAATCAATAAATACAACAGGATAAACAATACATTTAGGCTAGGGCAATGTACACCATTATTGCGTCATCGAGGGTGCTGGCGGCTCCACACCTGATGCCGGTATTTAATAATTTATACATGGTTTTATATTAGTATATTATTATTTGTTTCCATGTTTTCGTTTGCTACTAATTTGTAGTATATTAGAAGTAAGCCCAATGTCACCATAAACGTCCTAAATTTTGCATATTTGAGTTGCTCAACTGGTGACCCTTGGTGCCTGTACGATAACTGCCGCATGTAAACATCTCAACAGGAAGTGTTGCATCTCTTATTTTCATCCATGTTTGCAACATCATTTATTCTTTCAATATAGTTATTTAATAACATATCATTCAAACTGTGAACTCTGTGAACGACGGCTATGCTATTCTCCTTAACGTTTTTTTTTTAGTGAATTCCCTGTTATGAATGGTTTTATACCAAATGGTATGAGGTTGGAGCTTTGTAATTATTTCATTCACTCGTGGGTATTGGAAAATATTCTTATACTCTACCCAAATTTTACTAGTGCTGGCTAGACTCGCATCCCATGTTTTTTTCTTTTATTCCGTGTATGACCAACCATTCTAAGATGGGAATATTAAATGAACTCATAGGGCTCTTCACCTATACTTTGGTGTTGGGCTTAAGGTCTGTTGACCTCCTGAGGGTTATTAAGGTCACCATAAGCGCTTATTGACCAATCAACAAGTTTACTTTAGTCGTGAACTTAGTCCAGGACTAAGGTAAACTCTCATTCATAGAGACGTAGGGTGCACCTCTCGGTGAATATATACTTTGAATTACTTTCCTTTTACAAAGTTTTACATTTATATACTGTGTTCGTTTAGTCAGTTTAGTATGCTAATATATCTTGTTTATCAATGTTAATTAGTGAATATCAATGCAATGTGTTCGTTACGATGCATTTGTTGATAGAATATAATTTAATGACTAAACAAATTTGAAGCTCATGTGCGTTTCCTAATAATATCCCGGTGTGGAGCAGGGCAGTGTGTAGGTGTAGGTGCAAAGGGGCAGTCTATTATAAACGTGCTGGTATTTCACAATATTAGTAGCAAACACTTGCCTGGTGACTTGTTAGTCAAATCTTTGTTACCATTGTTATTACTGATATTTTCGCTTGGTTGTTGCAAGGAGGCACTGCACTTATTCTGTGCATTTGTTACAATGTTAATCTTGCCTTCAGCTGTATAATATTTAATATATTAAGGTTTAAGTTATAGTACCTGAAATGTATTGAATGTCATTGTCACTATCCAGTCACGAGCAAGTTACTTGACTTGTTGAAGTGACAATGAAGTGACAATGACTAGAATGTTGCCAAAACAAGTTTTTCGTTTTTGTGTATTTAGGATCACAAATATGAGTTGAAACTGTTGTTCTTGCAACGGGCTCATCTGTCATCCTTGTTGGAGAGTTCGTTCATAGTCAACATGTATAGGACTGAGTTCAATATATTATTGTTTCTTGCTAGATATACGGCTTTAACTGGGATTATATGTATTGACTTTATTGTGTAAGGTAATGGACATAAATTATAAATCAGAGCTCCGTGCTCCATGACCTGTTTAATTTGTGATAACTTGGTTATAGTTTTAATAATTCATTGTGTTGGGAGACAGACAAGCAGGAGTGTGTTTATATATGTTAGGCTTATATCGAGGTCACCCCCCCCCCAGGGTAGAATTACTGACCCTCTTCAGAATGCAACCCCCCAACAAGCTGCCTAACTCCTGGTTACCTACTTACTGCTAGGTAAACAAGTGCATTAGGTGATAGAAAATGCGCCCAACCAATTTTGTCCCGCTTGGGATTCGAACCCGTAATTCTTGATTGCGAGTCGAGAACGAACCCGACTGTACTACCGAGACCCCCTAAATATACAGGAAGCCTGTATACTAACCTCAGGATGCAACCCTCAGCAATTGCTAAACTCGCGGGTATCTGTTTAATAGAGGCATCAAATGAAAGGAAACGTACGTAACCGTTTCTCTCTTGACC